GTAAGTATGCATAGTGCAAGACCCTCTTTATTGTACTTACCTTAATAGTTATATATATTGATTTTTGACTATGATTTCAATTATAATTGTCTGTATTAAATCAAGTTCTGTATTTCACCAGATTTCATCTCCTCCATTAACTTTGAGTAACCTTGTACAAGGACAAGTTGTACTCCAATACATAATCTTATAGGTGTAAAAATCGTACAGGCTACACTACCACCCTGTGACATCATGAACAAAGTGCCCATTTGTGCCTGGGTAGGGGCCCTGGTATGGGAAGGAAGAATGCTGCAAGGACTCAGGATCGGTGGCCAGGGTCACTGTGCATAGAGATGGGGAGGTTATATGAGGAGAGGGGTAATGAGTGAGAGAGGGAGGTCAAGAGTTAAAATAATAATATTTGGAGGGGAATATGTACAATTAAGTGAAACTGAACAGAAATAAAACTGGAGTGTAGGCTCTAAAGCAACAACGCTTGGATAGGGATTCGGGGTTAAAGGTCTGGGATCCCCCAAGCTCTAGATCCTCAAACCTCTCCTCCCTCCCTCCCACATACCCACCCAGCCCACTTCCTGGGTGCCCTTCCACCACACTCCTCTCTACTTCATCCCATTACTCTCAGCCGGCACCACCTCCCGGCACCTTAGGAACTTCTCGTGTTCCCTCCTCATCTCTCACTACCTCATCCCTCCCTGCTGCTTCTTAGCTCTAATCCTATACACACCCTCCCTATGCCCTGGCACCCCAGAATTATCTACTACCAACTTCTCCTCCCCTCCCACAGCTCTCTTCTCCCTTCACCTGTGGGGTCCTGAATGGCAACATTATACGCTCTCCTATCGAAAGAGGAGGTCATCTGATTGTCAAACAAGCCATGCATGAGTCCTACACTATTTACTTAATTTAGAATTCTACAGGCAGCATATTTTCTTCTTAAAATGAGGAAAAGGCATGAAAGTTACAGTTATTAATGTAGATATTAATGTATCCAATAACGATACATTAAATGCAATTTTAAAATGGCCGATAACACCAAAAATGTCCAAAAATTATACTTGTGGGTAGGAGATAAGGCAAAAAAAGGGGGGCAAGGAAACTTGTCAAAACTTGTATGATAAATAAAGGTATAAAGTTATTACTACTCAGGTTCTTTAGAGACCCCACAGCTTCTAAAAAACTGAGGGGATGGGAATCCTTACCCAGTAAGACAACCGTCTCATAGTTCTCCTGCATAACATCCCTGTAGAAGGCTCTCTGAGTGGGGTGCAGCAGAGCCCACTCTTCCCTGGTGAAATACACAGCCACCTCCTCGAAAGTCACCAGCCCCTGAAAGAGCAAGAGGCCAACACTCAGTACCTGCTGCCCCAGTCACAACCCCACTATTCACGGAACAGCAGCACCAGGTAAATGGAAGCTCCGGGAGGCACATGTTAACAGAGTCCCACCCCACCTTGCCTAGAGCAGCCAGGAGGCATCAGAGGGTGGAAAGAGAGAACCTTTGTGTCTCCCAGCTGACAGACGGAGGCAGGGTCTTCACATTTATCACATACCTACTAGCCAGAGCTTGATATAGGAGATGGGGCTGTCTCTGGACCCTGCTGGTGGCTCCCTGCTAGGAATCCCAACACTCTTCAAATAAAATATATGGAAGAAAGGGGAAGTCAATAGTAAAGAATATAAGTTAGAAGGTCAGAATTGTAGAAAATGGGTAAGGGAAGCTATCAGAAATCAATGATCAATCAATGACAATAAGAAGGAAGTTTTTTAAAGTATATTAAGTACAACATTAATCTTAACAATGGTAGTGGTAAATTACTAGATGGAAATGGTAGAATTATCAAAAATAATGCAGAAGAGGTAAAAGTGTTCAATAAATATTTCTCTCCTGGATTTGGAGGAAAACAGATGAGGTAACTCTTATCATAAGATGTTGACGCCGACAGCCTTTCCATTCCAACAGTAACTCACGAGGACCTTAAACAACATCTATTAAAGTTAGATGTGTTTAAATCAGTGGGTCCAGATAACAAGAGTTTTGAAAGAGCTGGTGGAGGAGCATGATGGACTGTTAATGTTGATTTTAATTAGGACTTGGAACCCTGGGGAAATCCCATAAGACAGGAATAAAGCTAATGCTGTGCCAATATTTAAAAAGTGTAAAAGAGATGACCTATCTAATTACAAGAGTGTTAGTCTGAAATTGATACTGGGCAAGAGAATGGAGCAGCCGATACTGGATTTCATTAATAAAGAATTAAGGGGGGGTGACGGGGCAGCCCCGCCCCACACTATCCCCGGCAGCGCTAGACAAGTAGCTCTGTTGGCGCAAGTCCCGCCCTGCTCATACTGAGCATGCTCCAAATGCTCAGGGAGTATAAAAAGAGGGAACTCAGCTCAGTCTGGGCTGGTGGCCACAGGAGAAGCACGTATAGGGAGAGCTCCGGCCAAGGACCAGAACGCACTATTGAAGCTACCGGGAACCGAGGCCTCTCCAGGGTGGTGTGAAGCCCCACTGCGGGAGGAACCAGAGGAGGCAACAGACCCCGAGATTCACGGAGAACCAGGACACATGTGGGAGACTCCGACGGAAGCGACCCAGGTGGAGTGACGGACTGATATCTCGACCCCGGTAAGCCTCAACGTGTTTCGGTAGGACCCCCCCGCTGAGTTAGTAACAACGCCATACTGCCCTGTGAGGAGGGTTAATTACCAGGGACTCTGGCCACTAGGCTGTGCTGCCCTGTGACGAGGGCTGATTTCCGGGAGTCTGGCCACTAGGCCGTGCTGCCCTGTGACGCAGGGGTTAAACCCTCACAGGGGGTAATATAATTAGTACCCATTAACAAAGGTTTAGACACAATAGATCTTATCAACTAACTGGATATCCTTATTGGATGAGATCAAAAGTTTGGTTGCAGCTAATAGTACTGATGAAATATACCTAGACTTCGGTAAGGCATATGAGTTGGTTCAGCACAATATTTTGACTAGAAAACTAGAAAGATACAAAATACACATGGCATATATTAAATAGATTAAAAACTGTGATTTTAAATGGGGAACCATGGTCGAGTGGATTTCTTGCTAGCGGGTTCCCGCAAGGATTGGTTCTTGGCCCTGTGCCATTCTTATCAATGACCTAGAAGAGAATATAAAATCATCACTGATAAGGTTTGCAGTTGCCACAAAGATTGGGGGGGGTGGTAACTAATAAAGTGTCAGTAGATTCAGGCTCCAGCACTGGGAGTCTGGGAAGTTTTCCCAGCCCTGGCTGGGGGGTTATTTCCTGTTCCACAAAGAGGGGAAGTTCCATTCCCAACTCCTGTGCCTTGAAATTAAGACCTATCTCACACTACACCCCATATTCAGCATAGTGGTAGGATTATAATATGATAAGGGCATAATTATGAGCTATTTTGTGCAAGATGCGTCATGTGCAGGGTCATTGGAAAAGTTATAATTTCCTGAATAGGATTATTCTATTTGTGTGCATGGATCATGTTTGTATCTGAAGTTATGGATATTGACTATGTATCTGTATTTCAAGTGTGCTTACTCTGGGTAACACCCACAACTAGCCTTTCAGGTACAACAATGAAGAAGTCAGAAAGTGCTGATGGCTCATCAACAAAGACAATGGACTGTGGAAGAGCTTCCCCTTCCTGTGAATGTTCCAGCCAGCCTATGAGTCATGGCTACTATGACTCAGGAGGGCATGCTAGGTCATGTGACCAGACCACATGACACTGAACTCCATTTAGGTACCTGTATTTTTCCACAAACTTGACTGGGAACTGAGTTTGGAACAAAGGGTTTCCATCATATGGAAAAGCTACATAAGGTGGGGTGTGACATCATCTCTTGGCCTCATTCCCCAGACACGAGAACTCCTGGAAGCACCTGAGGAACAAAGACTAAACTGGGGGATGTGCTTGTGGACTGCTTCAATCATCAGTCAGGGTGAGAAACTGCTAATTCAAATTCTATGCAGCTAGTAAAGGGGCGGGAAAACTTTTTGGCCTGAGCATCGCATCGGGTTTTGGAAATTGTATGGAGGGCCGGTTAGGATTCAGGAGGCCTGGGGCAAAGCAATTTCGAGGGCCCCTTCCACAAAAATAAGTTGCAATACTATAGAATACTATATTCTTGTGGGGGCTCCTGCAGGGCCCGGGGCAAACTGCCCCACTTGCCCCACTCTCTGAGTGGCCCTGCCACCCTCCCTGACCCCTATCCACACCCCCACCTCCTGACCACCATCCCGAACTCCCCTGCCCTCTATCCAACCCCCCCCGCTTCCTGCCCTCTTACCATTCCTAGAGCACCGGTGGCTGGCAGAACTACAGCCACATACCACGCAGCACCGGTTCAGGCTGGGCTCTACAGTGGCACTGCCCCAGGAGCTCGCAGCCCCACCGCCCAGAGCATTGTGCCAGTGGCGGGGCAAGCTGTGGCTGCCGCGGAGGGGGAAGAGGAGGGGAGGGACCAGGAGCTCAGGAGCTGGGCAGGAGGGTCCTGCGGGCTGGATGTGGTCTGCGGGCAATAATTTACCCACCTCTTATCTAGTATGCTAGGCTCAGTTTGAGTTTCTGGTTATTTGCCAAGTAATCTGCTTTGATCTATTTGCTATCACTTATCGCTGGGAAATTGGTGGTTGTTTTCTGTCTGTCCTTGAGTGGCTTAGGTAAAGCACTCAGGTAGCTTAACTGAGTGTATGGCGCCACCTGCTGTCCTGTTGGGTGATAAGAAGGCCTGGAGAGGCTGGCTGAATCTCCAGCAAAGCAGTGTGAGAAGGGCCAGCCCAGGCTCAGGGTTAGAGGGCACAGCGGTTCCCAGAAGCCCCCCAGACTGCACACCGGGGTGACAACCC